AAACATCTTTCGGCATATCCAGAGAGCTGAGGTAGCCCTATTGACGATTTTGGCCAGGTGTTGGTTCCACGTGAGTTTTTTGTCTAGGATTACTTCTAGATATTTGACCTCTTCGTATAAATTGATTGGCGTCCCATCCATAATGGGTTCAAATGTATCTTCCTTCTTTCGGTGAATGGAACGATGACTCCAGTTTTTCAGCATTCTGAGTGCGGTCTTCATTAGGTTCGATGAGATCCTATAATATTCAGGCTACATTTCGAAACATAAATTCATGATTTGGTGGGAATTCCACCAAAATCGGAACAAAATTGAAAAAGGAACACGGCGAACAATTTGACTAAATTTTTTGGTGGCTTTTTTTGACTAAGGAAGATGATCATATTGAGTGGGGTATTTTTAGGAAGCTCTTCGAAAGATATACTGTCTTTTCAATGGTGAGGAATTATATAAATAGGTATTCGTATATGTTCGCTATATTTGTTTATTTGCTGAGATTTCGTTAGAGTAACAAAATCCCTGTGAAACAATTTTTATTTTTTTCTTCCGTCAAAAATTGAAGAGGATGGTACTTTATAGTATGTCACCAGGTATACTTGGTAAATGAAGGATACATTTGAAATTGACAGATTTCGTACGAAATTAGAAAGATTCTTCTAGGAACATGAAAACTGAGCTCGAATGCTGTTAATACACAGATATTAATTAATGAGTAAAAACTATTTTTTGTTATTCAGAAGCGACTTCAGTGTCAAATGCAAATAGAATATTGTTCTGAATGGAAAATAAAATGGTGAAATTAAGGTGGAGTTTACTCCATCAGAGGATGATAAAACGAAACTGTGAATTTCTCAACATCAGCAAGTTGATTTCTTATGACGTTTTGTTAGACAACTTGTATCAGTTAGAATCTACGAAATAGCATAAATCATTCGTTAGGCATGAATTCCTCAATACCAATATTTGGTCGAATTATTGATGAATATAAACTTCTGATCAACAAAACCACAACAAGCACATTTCTACGATAAATTCAATATTAAATATTTTTGCGAACATTTCACACATCCAGATGCGGCGCTTTTCATTTTGAGGATGAATCCATTATTAAACCTTCGATGAAAATACACAGTGACAAACCAACGTCAACAAAATATTGAAAAATTATCAATGCTTCCCAATTTGATGGAACATTTTGGGATTCTTCTCAATTATATTTTCATAATGCTCAAACATAATATTACTATAAAAAAATGCTGCCGCCATTTTTTCACCGTCCTCTACTACCTATTTGAAATATCATAGTCATCTCCACAACTTTAATCTGTGATCATAGTTCAATCGTAACGGTACATGTTATACCCGGTATTTTTCTAATGTGACTTATCCCTGAAACTTTTTTGGTTCTATAATTAATAAACTAATGAAATATGCATTATTATGCACTTTGTGAGTACAATGACACCTCATTTGCCGTTTTTTGACCTTTATCATCCTGAAATTTTCATTTTTCAATTTTCCGTCTACAGTGATCATGGATACTGGATATTAATTCAAAATATCGATTATGTGGTATCAAAATGTTCGTAACAAAATACCCTTTCAAGATATGGTAATGAGCCACCCTTGTTCTATCTGAAGAAGTTGAGTTGACATCATAATCACGATATTGTAAATTTTGAATGAACCTGTAATAGTATATTACGTAATATGTATTGTAAGAAGCATATTACGCACGAATGGAAAAGTTACGAACGTAGCCGTAGCACGAGCTTCTGACTCAAAATATGAGCGAAAAAATAAAAAGAAAGATTTGAAAATTTTTACGGTAAATGTAATGTCTATCGATTATTTCTGAAAAACAATCTGTATATAAAAAGCATAAGATTTCATACAAGTTATAACGCCAACAACCCATTCAGTAACCCTGTATAACCAGGTTTCACCATGTGTTTTTACATGTTTTTATCAGCGGTCTAGTTGTCACCCAATTGATTTATTTCAGAAATCAAGAAAACAGCATCGGAATATGTGATACAGTATGATCGTGAAAATAATCAATGTTGAATTCAGTACAAAAATAAGCTCGTTGCAGTTCAATTATTGATCAGATTTATGAGTAAATTTTACTCCGAAAAGAACGATTTCATCACTTTTTTATGGTAGGTGTACTCAATATAGATTTTACATCGACAATTGTCAAAAAAAATTCGAGTTTGACAATCGATTTTGAAAATTGAAATCCTATACAGGGCAGGCTTTGAGAAATAGGCTAATGAACTGTTTTTTCACCTTTTATTATCAATCTCCACATTGATGATTTCACTGCTACTACTACTACTACTACTGACGTCACGACTAGTGAGTGAAGCACATAGTTGCCAAAGGCCAAAGTACATCTAGCGATAAACAGTCACAAATCATGATTCATTGCTCTCCTACAATATGGAAAGATTCCTTGTGGTTAGGTATGTTCGATATTAGGTACTTATGCTATGCGAATTTTTCCGTTACCACCGATAAAACAAGGCCAGCAGACTCTGACGTAAACAGCTCGTGACGTCGCATACTCAGGCCATCTTCCAAGGCATTCGCGTCGATCGATCGTCAGTTTTTTTTTTAAGAACGGTGGCGTAGGTAAATCGCGTTTGCTCGAATTCTCTTGTTGTTCATTCATCAAAATAATTGGCGGAGAAATTACTGTTTTGTGAAATATTTCGTGTTGTGATAGGCGAAATAACAATGCCTTACAAGTCTTGTGTTCCCTTTTGTCGGGGGAATTATGTGGGTGGTCCAAAAGTTCATGCTTTTAGTTTCCCGTTTGACAAGGAACTATCGAAAAAGTGGGTACATGCAATTCACCGCAAGGATTTTACGACTCCATCTAAGTACGGTGAAGTATGTGAATTACATTTTACTAAAGATGATATTATTACTTCATCTACTGCAACCGATTCAAAAACTGGCAAAACTGTTACAATAGATTTGAAGATTCCTATGCTCAAACGAGATGTTATTCCCACTCAATTTCCCAACTGTCCATCTTATTTATCGAAAGATGTAAAATTACGCACAAGTCGTGATGAAAAACTTGAGATACTAGAGACTAAAAATTTGGCACAAGCACTTACCAAAAGTAAAACTGAATTCGAAAATTACCAAAAATCATTTTGCTACACAGAATTTCAAGAATTTCTAGTTGTATTAGAGTCTTTTCAGTTGCCCGAAAAGTGGTTCAAAATTATCGATTTGCAAAAAGTCACATTATTCAAATTGTCTTATTCTCCAGGGCCCGTAATTACATATTCGGTTGTGATTGATTTTGTTTTGAATGTGGAATCATTTTTGTATGACCTAGCGATACAAACATCTCTAAAAGCCAATCTGAAAACACCTTTTATCTCTAATAATATCAATCAAATCAAGGAATTACTAATTGAAATAGATAAAAACGAGATACATAATTCGGGAAAATGTCTTCATAATCAGAAAAAGAGGGTTTTGAAACATATTTCGAATGCATTGGACTCTTTGGTTTCTGACTCAATACATTCTCAAATTTCTTTCTGAAAACGGTCATTTGCCTCGTGGCAATGAATGCAGAATTCATTCCAATGATCAAATTGCAACTATTATATTAACATGTACTACAAACACTCTACTTAAAAATTACTGTTTCAAGTCTAACGACCAATTGGGTAAAAAATCCAACAACAGGAAATTGAAAACACTCACTGGCTAATTTTTTAGGTAATAGGAATTCTCCAAGATAAATATAGGTAATTAGGTATAACAAACGGCATGTCTATCAAACTAAAATACATTTTCCCCAATTTTCTTTCGATCAATCTCATGATAAGTTTATGTTCTGCGGGCCCTGTATAAGTAGGTGTGAAGTTTACCTCTAATGAGATTGAATCACTACAATTTTTGTCAATATATTTAATTCGAATGGGTTGCTGTAGGTGGGTAATTGTGTTTTATTCTGGTTTTTGCTTTGAAACTTCGTTTTTCCATAATGAAATCGAATGGGATGCGAAGAAGGGCTCAGTTGACGGCTGGCATCCTCTTTCAATCGGAAGCCCTTCAAAAAAAAAGCAAAATCGACTCAATAATGATCTAAAACTAAAATCGAAATACGCGGTCGCCTTATAGCGCTATAAGCGCTTGTCGTTTCGAGCCGCTGGTTAGGCCTGACTAAGTGACGTCACCCACGGAGCATGCAGGCCTTGTTTTATCGGTGATAACGATTTTTCCATGGTATGAAAATGTGCATTTCGTTTGATTGTCGACTAGTAAATACTACTAGGGATATTTAAAATTATGGAATGATCAGACTCACATACGACAATTTCAAGTCGATTCAACTATAATTTGCGACTTGGCAACGTGTTGGCCGAGTTTGGCCGACCTTTGTCGAGGTGGGATATACAATATCAACAACTGATGTCATCAATATCGATATCGGTTGGCGGGATTGAACGAAATGAATGAATGAAATGAACAATATCATTTGAGGTTTGTAACAACAGTAAAACGTGAAAAATTCAATACCAGTTCAGTAGCCTTCATTACATAAAAATAGAAGTATAAGTTACGGCCCTGAATATTTATACAGACGAGCGTTACGGCCTACCAAATTTTGTCAAAAACCGGTCTGTTTACCTGAGTAAAAATTCACATGGATCTGATTGTACCGAGTGTTCATGCTTAGTTAAGACTAGGGCTGGGAATCTGTTCCGATATATCGATATTTCATCAAATATTCGATATATCAAATAACCATATCTCGGTAGGAAAATATCGAATATTTGAATATTCAATATATCGAATATATCGATATTTTTCACATATCGATATTCGATATCTGACTTTCAATATCGCCCAGCTCTAGTTAAGGCTCTCAAAAATAAAAACTAGAAGCCTCAAAAAATAAAAAAAACTACAAAATTTCGTGCCAAATCAACAGTAGTCGCACCAATTTCAATACCAATTTGTACCTCAGCTCAAAACTGGGATCCCTCAAATTAACCAATTTTCATAAATTTCGTTCTTTGGTTTTCAAGAAGCGCTCGTTACGTCGTTCGTTTTCGTTCTAGGCGGTAGATGCTGGGGTTGCTCTAAAAGTTTTATCATTTTCTGGTGGATATTCTGGGGAGAGGTGATTCTGGGACATTTAGCTAGGGAGCCAACCACCGTACCATTTTTACCAAGACTCCAACAGTCGCTGCTATTAACTGTCACATCAGCGTTCTTCCATGACTCATAATACTGCCTGTACTCATCATTGAACTCTTGAGGCGTCGGCACAGTAGTAGAGTACCCAGTACCGTTTCTCAGCGGGGAAAGAAAACTGCTGCAGTCGGTAGAAGGTGTTTCAAACAGCTCCAGCTCTTCTTCAAGCACTTTAGCAGCAGCAGCGTGTAGCTTGTCATCTGCCATGTTCCTGAAAGCATGCGCCTTCTTGTGTCTGAGGAAACTCTGGACTGTTTCATTGATGAGTCTCTCAGTGACCCGAAAGTCTTTGGAGATGGAACTATCGGTTTCATGGAGAGGTAACGTCAAATTGTTTCTTCTAGAGAACTGCGCATCTCTTTCTTGTTGCTCTTCCATGTCGCATTCATCTTGAAGTAGCTTGAATAGTCTGGAATGAGTAGCAGCACGCTGATACCGTGTTAGCCTCCTCAGTTCTGGGAATTCTTCACTGTCAGATATGTGTCTGCTCATATCGGAAGTTACTCCTGAGTCCATTTCTTCTTCGCTGAATTCCTCGAGTGACTTGACACTGCTCTTGGTTGAAGTCGTTTTGCTTCTGCTCTTGCTCCTCGTTTCACTGTAAACTTGATCTGTGATGCGTATCTCGACTTTGTTTTCTTGTATCTTCTTCTGTTTTTCTTCGATGCTGTCTTTTAGAGCTTGTATTCGTTCCTTGATCGAAGGTACTTTTACTTCGTCGGTGTTGTTATTGAACTGATCTGATTTAGTGGTAGTTTCGTCTTCATTGTCATCAGAAGAAGAGTCCAATTCATCGGAAGAATCTATTTCGATTGGTGCATACATTCTGTTCATACTATGTGAGCTTTGTTGTTTTGTATCATCCAATTCACTGCTCTTACTGGAATTATACTTCGTATAATCAGCTGAACATCTTGAAATAGTCTTAGATTTTGTAGAGGTTTTTTCCTCTACAACATCTGTATCAACCTCATTTACTGAGCCATTGGATTCTCTTGAAATAGTCTCAATTTTCGTAGAGGTTTCTCTTTCTACAACATTTGTATCAACCTTATTCCCTGAGCCATCGGATTCAATAGAATGAATATCAAGACGTGTACTGTTTGAAGAAATGTCGGCTTTGGCGGGTTTTTTAGGAGTTTCTAGCTTCTTTAACACCTTCAGGTTCCACGAACCGAAGTTTTCTTGAATCTGTGCGAATTGTGATGCGAAATCATCCACTTGCATCAACTTCCTATCAGTCACCTGTTCTTCATTTTCGTCGGTTTCGTAAATATTTTTAGAATTCCTGAAACAACTTCCAGGAGGGTTCTGACTGCTATAATCTTCACATGTTTCGCGATTGTTAGTTGTTTCCTCTTCTTCACGGACAATAATTTTTTCATCCGATTCAATACTATCACCATTAGCAGCTATTTCTTCTTTACTTGAACAACATTCTTCAAGTTCAGAAAGAGGTAGGTTGGTGACGCTATTGTTTTCTTCAATATCAGGCTGCTGAGTTGAAAGTTCTGATTCGATTACACGCAGATTCATTGAATTATACGTTTTTCTCACGGGCAAATCGTCTTCCTCACCTAATATGCCCCACCAATCTTCACTTTCATCGCTTTCTTTCCCTTCGTCACTGACTATGGTTTCCACTTCTTGTTTTTGTTCGTCCATAAAAATTTCCTTCTTGGTTACAGCATCTGGAATCTCATCTAATCTACATGGAGAACATTTCTTCGGTGTTGAAGATGGACTCCTCAAAGTGAATGAAGCATACATTTCTGTGTCATCAAATGTCTTGATATTACCTTCCTCAACTACCACCTGTTTATTCGGTTCTTCAGAAACGGTAACGCATAATTTGAGAGGTAAACTTACACCTATGTCGTGGAAATCGTTTTCTTCTTCGCTGTTTTCCGCTATGGTTGTTGAATTACTCATAGCACTGTTAGATCTCATTCTCGATTCAGCTCTCTCGCTTTCTTCTAAGATAACACTCAATTGGTGTGGATTGTCCATATCATCATCCATGTATGACTCACTTTCATCTTCATCTTCTTCTTCATCTGAAGCATCGTTACTCAAATCGTCATCAGATTCATTGTCTTCGTTGTCATCGTCTATGTTTTCGATACACTGCAAGGAACTAGGTGGAGTCTCCCGTTCTTCACATGATTTTAGTTTATCTTCTGAAGATGCATTTATCTCAATGATTTCTCTAGTAGGCGTATCATTCTCTGTGTCATCTTCTTTACCATAGTCCGTAGGGTCAATTCCGTAGTAGGGGTAGGGTGGGTATATTGGTGGATATCCATAATAGTAATAATAGTAATACGGGTCGAAATAATGTGGAACTTCCTCAGACATTCCACCATTGTAGTCTTGATAGCCATAATACCAGGGATTAGGTGTGTTCCTACAACTTTTGCACATTTCTGTATTGTCTTCTTTCTTGGTTTTGTTTGAACATTGCCGTATCGGAGGGCCCCAGTACGGTGGGTGGACTGGTTTAGGGGTAGGAGTTGGGGTGTTTCTCGGAATAGGGGTATTTCTAGGGGTAGATTTCGAATCGGATTCCGCTTCGCTTGTAGGGTAGGGTTCTGCGTACGGATAAGGAGGAGTCCAATAGGGGGCGAAAGGTACAGGGGTAGGGGTGTTTCTCGGGGTGGATTCTCCGTCGCTAGGGGGGTAGGGGTGATTAGGATGATGCCAGTAGGGTGGGTAGGGATAGGGTAAACAGGGTCGATTGTATTCCCATTCATCGTATTGGAATGCTTCGTTTTGGTCGATGGCATTGGCTATAAAAAATGAAAATGTTTTTTTCGGAGAGTGTTATAGCTTATTTTATCATCGAGGGACACTACATGAATGAAGGGAGACTTGGAAAAATCATAAACATAGAGGTAGGGACGGCTACTAATTTATCTCAACATTAGTTTCTACTAATACAATGAACCAAAGATTGTATCCAGTGAGGCTTTTTATATCAGAAAATAGGAAAGCATGAGTCACCATCTCAAATCGAAACCAGATTGATACATCAACATGGAATTAAATAATATTGGTTAAAGAAAAATAGATGATGGTGTCGGTATACTGATGAGTAGTCAGATTTTCAGAGTTTAATGAAATGATAACTTAAAAAAATAAAATTGAGTGTGATATACAAATGAGGAACAACATGATTTAACAACAAGAAAAAACTGTAACGAAGAGTTTTATGAATTTCTCAACTGCCATATTTGCAGTTCACTTTAGTTGAATGTTTCCATATAGATTGATTTCGGTAATCATAACAGTATTCTTGATTCTATTGATCCGATTTGACTTTTTTAGAATACATTGAATTCGGTTTCAATATTGGATTATGGATGCTGTCCATTGGTTGCCCAATTCATGCATCATTTTCTAAAGATTGAATTGTGAATTTTGAGAAAAAAAACATTCTACGGGATTCTGGGCATCTATTGAGATTGTAAATTGAGAATAGGTATAGCCTCCACCCGCGTAAACTAGCTTTTATTTGTTTTCTGAAGTATAGGTACAAATAAACATGTTCTTCTTATACTCACCACAATTATTATCTGGCGCAGTCATTGCTTGAAGGATTCTGAAAGATCTGCCGGGAATCGAGCTACCTGTATATTTTTTCGGTTCAGGCACCACCTGTTCGCTAGGATGTACATATTGTTGCTGAGGCTCATTGCCTGTTTCAATTAAGAAAACGCTGATTATCATATATTAAAGAAGAATTTATCAATCTGTCCCTCTGTCTCTGTCTCTGTCTCTGTCTCTGTCTCTGTCTCTGTCTCTGTCTCTGTCTCTGTCTCTGTCTCTGTCTCTGTCTCTGTCTCTGTCTCTGTCTCTGTCTCTGTCTCTGTCTCTGTCTCTGTCTCTGTCTCTGTCTCTGTCTCTGTCTCTGTCTCTGTCTCTGTCTCTGTCTCTGTCTCTGTCTCTGTCTCTGCCTCTGCCTCTGTCTCTGTCTCTGTCTCTGTCTCTGTCTCTGTCTCTGTCTCTGTCTCTGTCTCTGTCTCTGTCTCTGTCTCTGTCTCTGTCTCTGTCTCTGTCTCTGTCTCTGTCTCTGTCTCTGTCTCTGTCTCTGTCTCTGTCTCTGTCTCTGTCTCTGTCTCTGTCTCTGTCTCTGTCTCTGTCTCTGTCTCTGTCTCTGTCTCTGTCTCTGTCTCTGTCTCTGTCTCTGTCTCTGTCTCTGTCTCTGTCTCTGTCTCTGTCTCTGTCTCTGTCTCTGTCTCTGTCTCTGTCTCTGTCTCTGTCTCTGTCTCTGTCTCTGTCTCTGTCTCTGTCTCTGTCTCTGTCTCTGTCTCTGTCTCTGTCTCTGTCTCTGTCTCTGTCTCTGTCTCTGTCTCTGTCTCTGTCTCTGTCTCTGTCTCTGTCTCTGTCTCTGTCTCTGTCTCTGTCTCTGTCTCTGTCTCTGTCTCTGTCTCTGTCTCTGTCTCTGTCTCTGTCTCTGTCTCTGTCTCTGTCTCTGTCTCTGTCTCTGTCTCTGTCTCTGTCTCTGTCTCTGTCTCTGTCTCTGTCTCTGTCTCTGTCTCTGTCTCTGTCTCTGTCTCTGTCTCTGTCTCTGTCTCTGTCTCTGTCTCTGTCTCTGTCTCTGTCTCTGTCTCTGTCTCTGTCTCTGTCTCTGTCTCTGTCTCTGTCTCTGTCTCTGTCTCTGTCTCTGTCTCTGTCTCTGTCTCTGTCTCTGTCTCTGTCTCTGTCTCTGTCTCTGTCTCTGTCTCTGTCTCTGTCTCTGTCTCTGTCTCTGTCTCTGTCTCTGTCTCTGTCTCTGTCTCTGTCTCTGTCTCTGTCTCTGTCTCTGTCTCTGTCTCTGTCTCTGTCTCTGTCTCTGTCTCTGTCTCTGTCTCTGTCTCTGTCTCTGTCTCTGTCTCTGTCTCTGTCTCTGTCTCTGTCTCTGTCTCTGTCTCTGTCTCTGTCTCTGTCTCTGTCTCTGTCTCTGTCTCTGTCTCTGTCTCTGTCTCTGTCTCTGTCTCTGTCTCTGTCTCTGTCTCTGTCTCTGTCTCTGTCTCTGTCTCTGTCTCTGTCTCTGTCTCTGTCTCTGTCTCTGTCTCTGTCTCTGTCTCTGTCTCTGTCTCTGTCTATATCTCTGTCTCTGTCTCTGTCTCCATGAGAAAGATAAAAAGAGAGAGAAAGAGAGAGAGAGAGAGAGAGAGAGAGGAAAAAAGAAAGAGAGAAAGATGATAGAGACCGCGTCTCGTTGTACACACAGGTTAGGAAATACATGTTTCACTTGTTTTTGTATGATTACCTACCTTCCATTTTGATCGGAACTGTCCTGATATGTGGTCCATTGTTGACATTGTGTTGCAGTCCCCGTGATACTGAAAATACAATTTTCATTAAGGTATATATTTAGTCATTGTCGCTCTGAATGGAGAAACTACATTCAGATCGACAATGATTCAGCAGATGACGATCAGAAAATATATACAGATTGTTTGCCCAATCGATACATATAGGGCATGTGAATATAGCAACATAGCAAGAGAGACTGATTCGGCTATCGTACAGCTTGATCATTGTAGCTTGGTCTACTGCGCATCCAAGTCTCAGAGGCCAAGCTAGACTGGCCAAGCTGTACGTTTGGCCATCACAGTGAAACGCAACTGCTGTTCTCCGTAACTGGCCATGCTGCCCAGTGCCATCCTTTCTTAATACTCCTGTATGTTACAATTCAATAAACGATCTGTATAAAAAAAGGACACGATTCAGGGGATACTCAAAGGCTCCATATTTCATTCAGGACAATGTATTTCATTACATAAGACAGTGAGTGGAAGCTGATCCTCCTGAAGATAAATAACCAGAATTAACAGTTCTTGAGAGAGTAAAATCAAGAAGAGGTCATGCTCCTCTGATACCCTTTTTTTCAAGGTTACATAAATCTACACTTCGGGTGACTTTATAAAAACTTCAAGCATTGAAGATTTAACATTCAAACATTCAAGACTTAAGAGTCTTAAGTGGATTCAGTGATGAAAAAATTAGGATTCTAGGGCGATACATGTCTTCCAATATGTCTTCTGTCATTACTGACATCTAGTTCCTGATACAGAACCAGATTTTCAAAGTTTAGTATGTCAGAAACTGGTTGAAAATCGAAATTTCATGTTCTGATATCATTGTATTAATTTGTATCCCTGATATGATGCCCAAGTTCATTATATCTTCAAATTATTCCGAAACTGGCTCACTCCTTGGATCTTTTGCCAAATATGGAGGCAACAGAGTTAGGTGACAATCTAGTGTATTTTTGTATCCATATTTTCTATCAGAAGAAAAAAGAAATATTCATCAGGAATAACAAAACCCAAGATATGTTGAATAATTTTTGAATGGCGGGAACTTGAGATACCTATCACTTTTTGATGCGCACTCCTTATTCCATTCATTATCATTAATCAGCACTCCTTGAGTTGGAAGTTGGCCATCTTAAATCTCAAATGATAAGTCATGAATGGTTTTATAACATAACCAATGATATTTCCATGTTCAATCTGTCATAAGTGATGAGCCTCAGATGTTAGGTGATAAATCTCAAGTCATACATTTTTTTATAAAGTGGCCCTTCCTCATACATGCTTGTTCTAGCAAAAATCGGTATGTCAACATCATTAGGAATTTCATTTGTTAATATTTCATTTATGACTAGTATATTCTGCAAGTATTCGAATTGCCTATATTTCAAACAAACGGTTCGCAAGTTCTGAATAAGTCATATCGAATATTGTAAACTATAACTTTCATCTCTGAAGCGATGTCAGAATAACGCAAAAAAGACGATAAGAGAAACTGCTGAAATTCTAAAGGTGTCCGGAATTCGAAACAAAACTAGAAACATGATGGTGTCTCGATAACATGTTTTAGGTAACCATAGCAACAGTGGCAAGTATGCGGACAAGTATAGTCAGAATTATATTTGTCCCGATACAATTCAATTTTGTGAAATAGTGTTAGAGAAAAACATTTTTATGAGAAGCACTTCACGAAATTTATTGAATGGTGCAATAGTGAATAATTGAAAACGCCAAATGAAGAAAAAGTATTTTTGGCTCATTTCCTAGAAATGTCTGAAACCTAGAGGCCAAACACCATGGGCATGCTGGCTTCCGCAATAAGCTTACCTACATAATGCTTCAAACGGTACACACAATAGAGATATCACTTATCATCAGAATATAGAGAATATATCACTGTTGTTAGTTGTTCCTATTTGCAGGAATAATTGATTGAACAAATCAATCAATTTATTCCTACGCTTGTAGAAAAAATATTGTTCCTAACTCATGCGGAAAGTGTTTTTCCCGCGCTCGCCTGCTTGCTCGGAATCTGCTTCGCGTTGTTCGGGTCAACGGCATTCGCATGCGGGAAAGTATAACTTTCCACACTTGTTAGGAAACTTACTATATCCCACCACCATATAGATTAATGATTATATTACCGCAGTCATCGATAAATTTGAAAACTCTCGATGGTATGTGTCCCCCTCTGTATCTAAAGTTTTCCTCTTCATGGAAGTTGATGTCTGAAATGATTATCACCACATAAAGAAAGACAAATATCTTATTGAGAATCATCATTCTCCACCCGAGCCAGAATATCTACTACTTACACTTTTCATCAATTTGGCATTGCAAGAAAGTAAATACCCATGATACAAAAGAAATATAAGATTCAATATTGTGAGCAGAGTTTGATGATCTACAAGATTAACTAATCTATGATTCTTCATTCCTTGTGTCATGAGTTACCTCTTGGCGATTTTAGTCGGTGAACTAATCTTGTTGATGCTATTGGAACAGGTTTTTTGATTCAAATGCTTTAGATAAATCATAAACCTAATCGAAGTGATTCACTTTCATCCTAACAATTTCTGCTCAGGATACTTTCATCAATTCATCTCACCTTGTTGTTGCTGGAAATTTTGAGGAAATTTCGGGGAATGTTCAGTCACTGGGGAAGGTTCAGTGTCGTCTTCATCCGTGTTAGTGAATTTCTGAATTATTTTGAATTTGTTCGACTGCGTTGGGTTACTCTGCTGCCGTTGAAAAGACCTGCAACAATAAATTTCAATTGAAAACACACAGTGAATAAAAACATAAACCAATCAAGTATTTTTGAAATGTCATTGTCATTTTTTCTGAAGCAACGATTATTTCAAGTTTTTGCAAAAGTAGTACGGAAAGAAAAAATATGCGAGAGTTCTCGCCAGATTCTCAAACGTATAAAAATATCAGTTTCACTAGTTGAGGTGGGAGATATAAACATCAAAAATACCAACACGTTGTAAACAGCCTCTCAAGACATCGGGTCAGTATACTCGATTATTTGGATAGAATCCAAAAACTGAATCAAGAAATATATCTACTCTTTCAATGTGCCAACACATTTACACAACTATCAACTCTGATGGAAGTTCTATTACATAACCTGAAATTTCGAATAGCTATTGCCCATCAGACCAAGAACTGCGTTATATCATTCCATCACTAGCAATACCAGTCATACGAACTCTACAAGCTCTGTCAGCACATGGGTAGCACAGTCAAACTCCAGAAATGTCGAACAAGTATTCACCAAACAAAACACTTTCGTCTATGGAATAGCAAAGATTTCAAACATTTTACCCATTGGGATTTGCCCAAATAATCTGTAATCTCCAAAAGATGAAGAACTTCTTAGCTTCCGAGAACAGTAAGGAAACCCCAAAGAAAAAAGGGAAATCAAGCTACACTATACTCGAAGAAGACTATCAATTCAATGGACTTCCTAACCTAACCTGTGATAGTATCCTTATATCTGTGTCAGGTATTATTGCTACAGCTATTGTCTTGCATAACCTCTTCACCACTGCAGCTAAAGCACTCTTACCAAACTAGGATTGCTCTTTAGGGCTCAAAAGTCATCAGAAACTGTTGATTCACTGCGAAGCTGACATTCGATAACTCTTCGCATATTTGAAATCGTGCTTGAAACAGTTCCTGAGAATAATGAGAACGTTGGCTGTCATGGGTTATTGGTAGTGCTCCTTCAAATTTGCAGCAGTATTATTGCTAAACTCTTCATCATGTGGATGTCCTCTGAACGCACCAATATTTGTCCTCAAATATCTGAAGATGGTGTTCAAGAGTTATATCTTTTATCGCAACAAAGTGAAGAAATTAAATTACTATCGTGGATACATCATCACCATATCACCTATATCTGGAAATCAAAATGCTAAGAAGAGGAAAGAGGTTGTTAACCCTACTGTATCCCTGAACCTTAGGTGTACCTGAAATGTTCACTCAGGGCCATGTAGTTTGAATTGAACAACAGCGTGTCATACTATGTTGTTGAATAATTGCCCAACAGCTACAAGGGAATACATTCATCAAAGAATAATCGAAAATAAACAAAGAAGTATGAATTCCTCATTATGAATTTGCTTGCTAGGAGGCTGTACAACGAAGATTTTGATTATATGTCAAGGAATCAGTAATGGCCCCTACATCTCATGCATACAACTGTGAAATTCGGACGACAGGAGACTAGAAGAATATTACTTGGACAACCAAAGATGTATTCAGAAGACGACTGTGAAGCTGTTCCAGATGACACATTACTGGCCCATCAGGCTGTAGTTTTCCAGAGGCTGCAGAGGAAATCAACCAATTTCTTTGTATTACTGCCAAAATAATCATTTATGTCACATTCGAGCAAAAGCTAAAGAAAACATTTGATTGTTAATAACTTTTTATTCACGGTGAACAATCCGGTACAAATTGACATACAATAATCGTTATGACCAGAACAATTTAATCTAAGCTTAGGACTAATTCCCTAGTACCCTCTTTAAAATGATAGGACCTTTAGCCTCCCTACCTCTCAGCACTAGGAGTAGCTTGGCTAGCTCCTTCGATCTGGATCGGAATGATCCTTTCCCCTCTCCTCTCGTTCACGATCTGATTGGCTGATTGATTGTTTCTTTCGCGTTGTACTTGCATCTGTGGACCAGGGTGCTTCAGCACCAGAGGCTGCGTGACGTAAACTGCGTTCGGTTTTTTTTCCTCTGGGTCAGGGTATTCTTGATACGGAGGGGCAGCTTGACTGCGGATCTCAATTCTTACTCCGATTGGTTGTTGCTGCTGGTCAGGTTGATTAGGGCGAGTTGGTCTGGATTGTGGCCAGGCTTGCTGTTCTCTTGTTGCTGGGGATGGTGTACTCTGTAACAAATGAAGTAGTTTCTTTGATTTGGGATGATTCTGAATACTCTCTTTTGATGATATACAAAGTTATGAGCTGCGTGAAATCTTTGAACCGTTTTAGATTAGGTACTTGGTTTAACAAACAAAGGCACGAATCTGTTATGGATATAAACAGCAATAACTATAAGACAAATCCTCATGCACAGACGGAGCAGTGGTCTGGGCTAGGGTCTGGGAAGAGAGAAATAGTCACTAGCAACCACAACGACTTATCTCATGAAAATCCAGTGCATGCATTAGGTAGGTACCCTTCGACATTCAGTCGTTGAAAATGTGGAGACTACCCGGTAAACATTCACCCTCACATATTTCAATCATATTACTGTTTTCATCAAACGTCTCATATATGACGTTGAAATAAGTCAATTAATTGGTATAGCAACAATTGGTCATATGTATCACTCAATTGATACCAAACCGTGACCATCCTATACAAGACGTTTGTATCATGATAACTTATTGATATCTTATTGTTGATTGAAATGATATGTAAGATGATTTCAATCATAAATATATTTTCAGAATGATGATGATTCTCAAGATCAAAAATATGCGAATATTATATATAAGTTCACGAACATTGCCCTACTAACGTTTTTTTCACATCATTCAAGATACCGAGATATTACATTTCTCAAATTATGATCTTCAATACATCCATATGGGGATGATAGTCTCCATGATCAAGACTTGACCATCTTGAGCAGGACATCAATCTCATGACATTTTACTGATGTTGAATTTTTGATTGAAATGATATATAATAATGTTTCCATCATAACTATAGCTCAAGAACGATGATAATCATCAAGATGAAATATTTGCATATTTTTTTATATATATTCAACAAAGTTGCCCACCTCACGTTATTTTGACATCATCCAAAAAACCGGAATATTACATTCTTCATATTATAATCTTCAATGAATCCTTATGAGAATGATTGTATTTGATAATCAAATAATGACCATCTTGAGCAAGACATGCATCTCATGATATTTCACCAATGTTGAAATTCTGATCGAAATGATGAATGATGATGTTTCCATCAGGGATTTAGCTGAAGAACGATGATCATCCCTTGGATGGAAAATATGCATATATTATACATAAACTTACTAATTTTGTAATTTCAACATTCTTTTGACACCATTCAAAACACTAAAATATAATATTTCTCATGTAATGATCTTCAATACATTTTCATGAAGATGATCGACGTCATGATCGTATTGTGACCATCTCAAGCAAGACATCTATCTCATTACATTTCACTGATGTTGAATTTTTGATTGAATTGATATATTAGAATAGTGTTATGATAGCTATAGCTTTAGAACGATAATAATCCCTGAGATCAAATATTTGCATATATTTAATGAACATATTAGAATGTTGCCCACCTAAAGTTATTTTGAAATCATCTGAGAAACCGAAATATAACATTTCTCATATAATGATCTTCGATTCATCTTCATGGGGATGATAGTCTTCATGATCAAGTCGTGACATTCTATACACCCAGACACTCATCTTATGATATTTAACTAATATTGGATTTTTTATTGAAATAATGAATAAGGAAGTTTCTATCATAAATATAGCTTCGAAACGATGATTATCCTCTAGATGGAATGTATGCATAAATTATATATAAACTTACTAATTTCGCGCCTCCAAAATTTTTTTGAAACAATCCGAAACACCATAATATTATATTTCCCATGTGATGATCTTTAATATATTATTATGAAGATGATCTTAATCATGATCGAATTTTGACCATCTTAAGCAAGACATCCATCTCATGACATTTCACTGATGTTGAATTTTTGATTGAAATGATATATAAGAATAATGTCATATAGCTATATAGCTTTAGAACGATAATAATTCCTAAGATCGAATATTTGCATATATTTAACAAACATATTAGAATGTTGCCCACCTATCGTTATTTTGAAATCATTTGGAAAACCGAAATATAACATTTCTCATATAATGATCTTCGATTCATCTTCATGGGGATGATAGTATTCATGATCAAGTCGTGACAATTTATACCCAGACATTCATCTTATAATATTTAACTAATATTGGATTTTTTATTGAAATAATGAATAAGGAAGTTTCTATCATATATATAGCTTCGAAACGATGATTATGCTCTAGATGGAATATATGCATAAATTATATATAAACTTACTAATTTCGCGCCTCCAACATTTTTTTGACACAATCCGAAACACCAAAATATTATATTTTCCATGTGATGATCTTTAATATATTATTATGAAGATGATCTTAATCATGATCGAATTTTGACCATCTTAAGCAAGACATCCATCTCATGACATTTCACTGATGTTGAATTTTTGATTGAAATGATATAAGAATAGTGTCATGATAGCTATATAGCTTTAGAACGATAATAATCCTCAAGATCAAATATTTGCATATATTTTATATACATATTACTATGTTGCCCACCCAAGGTTATTTTGACATCATCCAAAATACCAAAATACTACATTCCTCATATTATGATCTTCGATACATCTTTATGGGGATGATAGTCTTCATGATCAAGTCGTGACCCTCTCGAGCCAGACATTCATCTTATGATATTTTACTAATATTGAATCATTGATTGAAATAATGAATAAGGAAGTTCCCATCATAAATATAGCTTTGAAACGATGGTTATCCTTTGAATGGAATATATGCACAAATTATAAATAGAATTACTTATTTTGCGCCTTCAACATTTTTTTGACACAATCCGAAACACCAAACTTTTATATTTCTCATGTGATCATCATCAATATATTATTATGGAGATGATCCAGATCATGATCGAATTGTGACCATCTTAATCAAGATTTCCATGTCATGACATTTCACTAATGTTGAATTTTTGATTGAAATGACATGTGAGAATGATGTCATCATAACATGAACATTCAACAATGTTACCAACGTTATTTTCTTCGATACATCTCCATGGGGATGATACAGTCTTCATGATAGAGTCGTGCCAGACAATAATCTCATAATATTTCAGTTATAGGTATTCAATTTTTGATCAAATCAAGGAATAATTAAGTTTTCATCATTAACTTCCGAAACACCAAAATATTTTAATTCTCATGATCTTCAATATATTTTTATGAAGATGATCGACGTCATGATCAAGTTGTGTCCATCTTAAACCAGACATTCTTTTCATGATAGTTTATTAATGTTGAATTCTTGATTGATATAATATACAAGAAGGGTGCCTTCATAAATATAGCTTTTGAACGATAATGATCCTCAAGATGGAATATTGGCTTGTAAATGATAATGATGCCTCCCTTAAGTTTTTTCGACATCATCAGAAATATCAAAATATAATATTCCTCATGTCATGATCTTCAATATATCTTTATAAAGATAATCGATGTCATGATCAAATTGTGACCATCCTAAGCAAGACATTCATTCCATGATTTCTCACTTATGTTGAATTCATGATTGAAATGAGAGATTAAGCATGTTCTCATCATAAATCTAGTTTAAGAACGATAATAGTTCCAGAGATGAGAGAGAGAGAATTTTATTGACATCATCCGAAAAAACAAAATATATTTAATATATTTTTATGAGAATGATCGACGCCATAATCGAATTGTGACTATCTTAAGCAAGACATTCATCTCATGACATTTCAATGATATTGAATTCTTGATTGGAATGATATACAGGAAGGGTTCCATCAAAAATAAAGGTAGCTTCGAAATAATACTAATCATCAAGATGAAATATTTGCATATATTTTATATACGTTCGATTATGTTGCTTCCCTAAAAATCATCAGTAACATCGAAATATAACAGTTCTCATATTCTCATATGTTCAGGATATCTTCATAAGGATGATCGACTTCATGATCAAATTGTGACTATCGCAAGCAAGACATTCATCTCATGAAAATTCACTAATATTGATGAATTCTTGATCGGGACATATATAAGGTAGGTTTTGTCATAAATAAAGCTTCAGAACGATTATAATATTTCTATATATATAGGTACATTCACTAATGTTGCCCCTTACACCGTTTTTTTGGCATCATCAGAAATATCAAAATATATTTCTCATAATATGATCTTCAGTACATCTTCATGGAGATGATCGACTATGACTAAATTGTGACCATCACAAGTAGGACAATAATCTTATATAATATATAACTGTTGAATTTTTTATTGAGGTGATAGATAAGAATGTTTTATCATGAAGATCCAGAACGATAATAAATCTCGAGTAAAAAATATATTTACTGATTTCGTCCCTTCGAGATGGAATATACCGAGGAATATATACATATACTTCGTATTTGCTTCAAAACTGCTCGCCCTACAATGTGACAATGACATCAGTCAATAAACCATGATGCTCCTTTTTTTATATTCAGATCCTCGATACATCTTCATTGGGATGATCTATTTCATTATGAAATTATGTCCATTATAAGACGTTCATCTGAAGATGGACATGTGCATTAATTATTACACTCTGGCAATATTCAATTTATAATTCCCGAACATTATGCAGAATGGACTGTTATTACATCTCTCATATTGAGATTGTGAGTTACCCGTTCATTTCATCATATTTTGCGAATAATGAAATTTTCATATAGGGAAATGATGATAACTATTTCATATTTATTGAAAATATCCACCAATATTGTTACTCCAACATGCAAATAATTCAATTCTCATATTGATATCGATTACATGATCGATTCAGGAGTATCCTGATTTGGAATGTTCCAATGTTTTTTGATGACATGGTATATATGAGAATATTTTTATCATAAATATACTATTACCATGTTGAGCCAGATGTTCAATTCATGATATTTTACAATTCATCCTTTTTTGAAATGATGGATTAAAATATTTCCATTA